CCCCTGCCGGCCCTGGCTCCATGAGGGCACTTCCGCTTCCAAACGCACAAGAGCCCCCGCTGGGGACTTCTGTACAATTCAAAGCTGGCACCTGCGTGCCACCCGGGGTCAGCAGGGTCTCTTGCTGCATTCCTCAGCAAGGGTGCAGGGAGCCCTGGAGCCAAGCGGCAAACCCTATCTCGGATGGATAGCACCTCATGCCAGGAGCAGCTGCCTTTCCACCCCCAGCAGACTCCGGTCCAGCCTGTGGGTACCATGCATGGGGGGCAGAGAGAACAGGTCCCTTGAAGAGACTGAACAGGAGCCTTTCTGCCCAGTCACCCCAAATCACCCGAATAGTTTGTTTTGGGGCCCCACAGGTCAGCCCTTTGGGGGGCTCCAGTGTGAGGTACCAGGATGGCGATGGTCGAGCAGCTGCTGCACATCCTGGAGGAACTGAATGAGGAGGAGTTCAAGAAGTTCATGTTTTGCCTGTCCCGCGTGGACACGGATCCCCACATACCATCTGGGAAGCTGGACGGTGCCTCCCGTATTCGGGTGGCTGAGCTGCTGGAGAAGAGGTACCCCAGGGAAGCACTAGACCTCACCAACCAGGTGCTGCACAAGATCCCCAGGCGGGACCTGATCCAGGGCAGCTGGCTCCAGGCAGGAGAAGCTGGGAACAGCAGCGATGATGCCAGTTGCAGCGAAGCTGTGAATAGTGATCTGGGAAGCTGGACGGTGCCTCCCGTATTCGGGTGGCTGAGCTGCTGGAGAAGAGGTACCCCAGGGAAGCACTAGACCTCACCAACCAGGTGCTGCACAAGATCCCCAGGCGGGACCTGATCCAGGGCAGCTGGCTCCAGGCAGGAGAAGCTGGGAACAGCAGCGATGATGCCAGTTGCAGCGAAGCTGTGAATAGTGGCGCCGGAGCCAGGGAGCCGCGGGCACAAGGTAAGGAGCACGGCTACAGAGCAGGTCAGTGAGGGGAATGGAGAGCCCCCCACTACGCGCTCCTCCGC